ATTCACGCTTACAATAAGCGCAGCGCTGCCACCGCTCCGGCACAGACGCCGATTCCTAGAAGAGATGTTCTACAGAACAACATGGTGGAATGTACGAAGTACAGTGCACTTGATTTGGTCGATGGTTGTTACCAATTGCTCATGAGAGCGAGTGATTTTCCGCTAACAGCGGTGAACACTCCGAGCGGTATGCTCTGGGGGTGGCTGGTGATGCCCCAAGGGTGTCAAATGCACCAGCAACATTTAATCGTCTCGTGACGCAGTTGATCAGGCCCACAGAGCGTATGCGCAGACATACTTCGACGACATTTTCGTTCACAGTCGTGCGGAGCACGGGAGGAAAGATGAGGAAAAACACATCGTCTATTCAAGAGCGGTGCTCGAGTGCATGCGCACGAACAAACGGTACGCCAATGCAGACAAGTGCATCTTTGGCGCAGAAAATTCCCTTCCTAGGGTGCTTCATTGGGAAGCGTGGCCTTCGAGCGGATCCCGCTAAAGTCAAGGCCATTGCAGACTGGCCGTTTCCAAAGAACCAGAAGGACGTGCGTATGTGGCTTGGTCTCGCCAACTACTTGCACAAGTACAGCGTAAATTGCGCAGAAATGACCCAGCCATTATCCAATCTCCTTAAAAAGGATGCGGAGTGGTGTTGAAACACCGAACATCAGGAGACTTTTGACGGGGTCAAAGACGGCCTCCTACATGCACCAATACTGGCGCTGTCAGACCCTGATCGTCCTTTCAGCGTCGTCTGTGACGCTTCGGATTTTGCCATCGGCTGTGCACTGCTGCAAGCAGACGCCGAGGGGCGAGATCGAGTGATCGGGTTCGAATCTCGACAGCTCAAAGCTGCAGAGAAGAACTATCCAGTTCATGAAAATGAGCTACTTGTAATGAAGTATACACTAGCCAAGTTCAGTGTCCAACTGCTCGGCTCCAAGCCTTTTGTGATCTATACAGATCATGCGTCACTACGCACTGTGTCTCAGTCGCCCTACCTCTCGCAGTGGATGGCCAGATGGCTATCCTTCTTTGCGGAATATAACTCCGACGTGAGTTATAAGCCGGGAAAGCAGAATGCTTTGGCTGATGCGTTGTCATGCAGAATCGACTATGAGCTTGCTCATGTTACAAGTGTAACGTCGTCTGTGGCAGATTTGATCCGCACCGCTTATGCGGGTGATGGGATGTGTGTGGCGTTGCTACGGGCTTTATGGAGCACGGAGTTTAAAAACTCGGACAAGAAATTTTCATCAAGACTGCGTGCACGATTGCGCCGATATTCGTTGAATAATGGTAAGAGCACCGATTCAACGGATACACCACGGATTGTGGTTCCTCATAATGAGGATTTGAAATACCGCATCCTCTATGAGGCCCACGATACACCACCCAGTGGTCATCTCGAACGTGAGAAAACGTCCCACTCTGTGAGTCACCACTATTGGTGGCTCAAGCTGTTCAAATGAACGAGCATATATGTGCGCACGTGTGAGACGTGTCAACGGGTGAAACCCTCTCCAAATGCGGCTGCGC